CTTGAGGGGGAGGCCGGGGACCTCCCGCGCCGCGGCTTCCAGGGGCCGCCCGGCGAGCTCCTCCCAGCAACCCGCCAGAATGGCGTCGTAGCGGGCCGCATCTGCTTCGCCGGCCAGCTGCGCACGCAGGACGTGCTGGCTTGCAGCGCCCGCGTAGGTGCGCAGCAAAATCCCAGTCGCCTGCAGCGAGAGGCCGTGCTCGCCAACCGTGCGCTTCCCAAGCGGCCGGAGGGCGTTCCAAAGCTCTGTCAAGCGCCCGGCCGACTGCTCAAGGCCGCTGTTCTGGCCCAGTTCGAAGGCCGCGTCTGCCACGTCGCCCCGCGCCCGCAAGTGCGAACCGAGCACGGGGAGCGCCGACACAAGCGCGCGCGTAGCTCTGGGGGCACGGCCTGCTGCCCAGACGGAGACCATACCTGCGTCTTTCTGGCGTTGATCTCCAGCCCGAGGGGCTCCAGGAGCTCTCCCAAGCGGAGGAGGGCAGCCGTGGCGAGCCTCGCTGGGAGCACCAGGTAGGTGCCGTCCAAGTAGGAGTAGAGTCTCACGTCTGGATCCTGTCGCGAAAGCTCCTCACAGCAGCTGGGAGAGCGCCGCCCTCTGGCCGACCGCGAAGGCAGCTGGGGCCAGAGGGTCCCCCTGGTCGAAACCAAGGGTGCCCTCGACTTGCTCGAATTTGCCCGCTGCGTCCCAGCAGAGGTGCCTGGCGGACCCGGAGTACCACTTGTCAAGCACCCCCTCCTCCTCCTCCTCCTCCTCCTCCTCCTCCTCCCTCCGCCTCCTCCTCCTCCTCCTCCTCCTCCTCCTCCTCCTGTTTCCTCCTCCTCTTCCTCTCCTCCTCCTCCTCCTCCTCCTCCTCCTCCTCCTCCTCCTCCTCCTCCTCCCTTTCCTCCTCATCCAACTCCCCTCCAACTCCCCTCCCCATCCACACCACTCCCATCCCCCTCCACCCCCAACACCTCCTCCTCCTCCTCCTCCTCCCCTCCTCCTCCTCCTCCTCCTCCTCCTCCTCCTCCTCCTCCTCCTCCACCTCCGCCTCCTCCTCCTCCTCCGCCTCCGCCTCCTCCTCCTCCTCTCCTCCTCCTCCTCCTCCGCCTTCTCTACCTCCACCTCCACCCTTCCCCTCCACATCCCTCCACCTCCACCTCCTCCGCCTCCGTCACCTCCACCTCCACCGCCTCCTCTCCTCCTATCCACCTCCACTTCCACATCCACCTCCACATCCACTCCCCTCAGCCTCCTCCTCCTCCTCCTCCTCCCTCCACCTCCCGCCTCCCCCGCCGCCTCCTCCTCCACCCTCCACCTCATCCTTTCGTCCTCCTCCTCCTCATCTCCTTCTCCTCCTCCTTCTCCTCCACCTCCTCCTGAACCATCACCTCCACCTCCCCTCATCCTACCTCCCTCCTCCTCATCATCATCATCTCATCCTCCCATCTTCTTCTTCCTCCTCCTCCTCCTCCTCCTCCTCCTCCTCCTCCTCCTCGCCTCCACCCCACCTCAACCTTCACATCCACCTCCACCTCCACCTCCTACTCGCCTCCTCCTCCTCCTCCTCCTCCTCCTCCTCCGTCCTCCTCCTCCTCCTCCTCCTCCTCCTCCTCCTCCTCCTCCTCCTCCTCCTCTGCATCCTCCTCCTCCTCCTCCTCCTACTACTCCTCCTTCTCCTCCTCCACCTCCTCCTCCTCCGCCTCGCGTGCTGCCTGAGTGCTGCGGTTGGACCTACACTCAAGAAAGGGGTCGGACCAGAGAGTGCTGGGCGGAGTCCTCGCCCTCGGGCCGTCTCTGATCCGCCGCATGCCCACAAGGAATGGGGACGGCAGGCCAAGCTGTGGTCGCAACTATCCCTGGGACTCTGGGGTACGCCACTAGCAAGAGCAGACAGGACAGGGTCAAAGAAGGCAAGCAAGGGAGCCACACCCCAGCGTCCTCAGAACTATGGCGACCCATGGTTCGCTGCATTGGTAAGTCGCAGCGGCTTGGCACCAAGCCGCGGTCGAGGCAACCGAGGGGCACTGCGGGGTCGAATGGGGCACGGCAGCAGCGCGGCGGCGGAGCACGCTCAGAGCATGAAGAAGTTCTTGTGCGTGCGTGCACGAGAACGATACTGACTCGCTGCGCATGCGAAAGCCGCAGTCGCCAATGCCCAGGGATGCGTAAACCAAGGGTCTGGCGGAGGGCCCAGCTCTCTGCTGCTGCGCGCAGCGCGGGGCGTGGCCCTCTCCTCGTCCGCTGCGCACCGCGGGGGTGTGTTTTTTCCGAGCAGTGCGGGGAGGTGGCGGACTTTGAGCGGGCTCGCTGAAGCGCGCTGGGTTGCTCCCTGTGGCCAGCGGCGAGCTCAGGAGGGAAGTGAGAAGGGGCGGGCCTTCTCAGAGGGCTCGGAGGGCCTCCTGCCTTCCGGAAAGTGCCTGGAGTTTTCCCGGGCGACACAGAAAACTTCTCAGAAGGCCAGAGGGCTTCTGAGAAGCCATGTCGCCTTCTGACACTGCCTGTTCCTGAATCAGAAAACAAACGACACCAACCCACCTACGTCCCCACGGGGCTTAGTATATACCAGGACTGGCGTGGGTTTTTGCATGGTATACGCTACGGCGCCACATAGGCTGTAGCGCAACATGGAGCGCCGTGGGTGGAGTGGTATCTGTTGTTCTCTGGTTGAGCTTCTCATTTCTCCCCTGGGCGCGCCGCCGATCCTGAGCAGGCGCACGGGAGCGCTCTGAGCTGCTCCCTCTGGGGCACGGCCCGTGCGACGGCAGTGCACACGCATGCGCCAGGGACCGCCTGCACGCAACGAAACTACCTCCGACGAGTGATTAACCTCCCAACTGAGCTTGCCTAATCCCACCTCCTCCGTCCTCCTCCTCCTCCTCCTCATCCTCCTCCTCCTCCTCCTCCTCTTCCTCCTCCTCGTCCTCCTCAACCTCATCATCATCATCATCATCATCATCATCATCATCATCATCATCATCATCATCATCATCATCATCAGCATCATCATCATCAGCAGTAGCATCATCATCAGCAGCAGCATCATCAGTTTCATCATCAGCAGCAGCATCATCGTCATCGTCATCGTCATCGTCATCGTCATCATCATCAGCATCAGCATCAGCATCAGCATCAGCATCATCATCATCATAATCATCATCCTCATCCTCATCATCATCATCATCATCATCATCATCATCATCATCATCATCATCATCATCATCATCATCATCATCATCATCATCATCATCATCCCCCTCTTCCTCCAACCCCCACTCCACCCGTGCCGACAGCACGTGCCCAACCCCCCCAGCGGATTCACGGGGGGGCGATGATTGCCCCATCCAGAGTACACAGACACCCTCCGACGAAGTCTGCATGTACCTCCTGGGAGGGTGGCGGTGTATAAAGTCGCTAGCTCTCAGTGGAAACTTATACACTGCCGCCCTCTCCTGTGCACGGTTTCCACCGGGCCGTAGGCGACCCGAGGAGGAGGAGGAGGAGGAGGAGGAGGAGGAGGAGGAGGAGGAGGAGGAGGAGGAGGAGGGGAGGGGAGGAGGAGGAGAGGAGGAGGAGGAGGAGGAGGAGGAGGAGGAGGAGGAGGAGGAGGAGGAGGAGGAGGCGGACGGGTCGCCCAAGCCCTTCGGGGAAGCCCTCCACTCCCCTGAGGCCCAGGAACAATCCATTGGAGGGTGTCGGTGTCTTTCTGCTCCTTTTTTGGGGTGGCGGAGCCTGCGAGGCCGCCCACCAGCACCACAGGGCCCAGCTCTCCCACGGGGGCACACGCTCCGTGCGAGGGGTGTGCCCCGACCCGGGGCGCGGCGGCGCCACGGGAACGCCCCTCCCCCCCGGGGGGTCGCGGGGGGAGCTCGCACCGGTGACGCGCTCCCCGCGCGAGGGGCGTGCCGACGTGGGGGGGGGGGCCCTCCTCTCCTGCCGCCCGGGAAACGATCTGGGCCTCATGGCGCCTTGGGTGCCTCCTGGGGCCCCCCCTCTCGTTTCCGGCTGTCTCCCGGGAAGCCTGCGGCCTCCTGGGCCTCCTGGGGCCCCCTGGCACGCGTTCAATGTGTGGAACACGCGTGAGTCTGGCTAGAGCACTTGCCAAATGCATGTTCGATGCCCTCTGGCCTACAAGTCATATCTTAGCACACGCTCCACATGCATGTCCGACACCAACAATTTCCACCAAACGCTCGGTGAAGCACACGGCAAGTGCAGAATCCAGATCCCCGTGGCCTGCAGGACATACATTGAACCACGTGCGAAGTGAATGTGATACCCAATGCCCTGCGAGTCGAATGAAACCGCACGTACCAAACGCATTATCCATACCACATGCTATACAAACCAAACGTTGAGGCATACGCCAGATTCATGTTCGATACTCCCCTGGCCTACAACGCATGTGCCAAACTACCACCCGAATGCATTGCCGAGACCGCCCTATTCTACACCGCATTCATCTAAACACGTGTTGGTCGATACCCCTCTGGTCTACAATTCATACGCTCATACCCGTGCCTAAAAATACGTGCTCGAAACCCGCGGGCCTACACACTTGGTACCGCGCGCCGCGTGCACGCGTGCATGTTCGACCCCTCGCGTCCGTTATATACCGCCTCGTCCTGATCGGCACTGTCCGGGTCTAGGACAAAGAACCTCTGCTGAAGCCCGAACCAAGACCAACATGTCGCGCACACACACACACACACACACACACACACGAACACACACGAAGACACACGAACACACACACACACACACACATACACACACACACACACGCACACACACACACACACACACACACACGCACGCATCCTTTCCCTTCTGCTCGCCCATCTCGTCCTCAGCATCCTCCCTATCCTCCTCATGCGCCTCCTGCTGCTGCTCCTACCGCTGCTGCGCTGCTGCTGCTGCTGCTGCTGCTGCTCCTGCTGCTGCTGCTCCTGCTCCTGCTCCTGCTGCTGCTCCTCAGTGGGCAGGCATGCAATGGCGGAGAAGAGAGAAGAGCGCCATCTGCCTTTTCATTCCGCGTGGACGCCGGAACAGCGAGCCGCCCGAGAGCTCACAGCCCCGCCCAGACTTCCGACGTCGTGAGTTCTTGCCACGCCATGGACCCCGGAGATCTGCACCCCTCTCCCAGGACCGCTCTCTCGTCCCAAGCTGCACGGTGGGGGCAGTGGATAAAGAAGCATTGGACAAGGAATCCAGGGACTTGAGGCCGGTGGAACTCCAATCGAGGCTTGGCCACGGATATCACCGCCGCCCTCATCAGATAAGAAACCCTCCAGGGTCTGAAGCCTCTCGTGCACGTTCCTCAACCAACGCCCCCACCGTGGTGTCGACGGCCCCAACCCGAGTGGGGGTTCCAGGAGGCCGAGGACGGCAGAAACCCTTCAGTCGCTATCGCTTCACGACGCGAGGACGTCTGGCGACGAGGCCCACAGGTCGGCGGGGGGCGCGGGAAAACGTACAGCCCTCCTGGGGGTGGTACGGCACGGCGCCTGGCGACGCGCAACACGGAGACAGCGTCGGAGGCCTCGGACGACCATGTGAGGCCCAGCGGCCTTCGCCCCCTCCATTCTCCAGCCTAATCCCTCCTCCTCCTCCTCCTCCTCCTCCTCCTCCTGCTTCTCCTCCTCCTCCTCCTGCTCCTCCTGCTCCTCCTCCTCCTCCTCCTCCTCCTCCTCCTCCTCCTCCTCCTCCGCCTCCTCCTCTCCTCATTGTCCCTCCTCCTCCCCCTTCGCCTTCTCCTAGCCCTCCTCCTCATCCTCGTACTCGTCGTCCTCCTCCCGCATCCTCCTCCTCCTCCATCACTTTCCCTTATGAGCAACTCCTCCCTGTCACACCCTCAGGCGTGTCGGTGGGGCGGGCTGGGCGTTTCGCCTGAGACTTCCTCACCATGTGTGATCTTGAAGCTTGAAAGTTGCGACAGCTTCAAGGATCGAGGGCGGGTCGTCCCCGAAATGTGGCACTCGATGAGCGCTGCGAAAACTTGCTATGTTTGTTTGGAAATGCAACAGCTTCAAGTGTAAAGGGAGGTTCGTGTTGAAAATGTGGTTCTCGCCGTGGCTCCGAGCACATGTGTCTTAATAATTGCGCAACCTGTTTTCAACATGTGGCTCTCGGTCGATCGCCGCGAACATTCGTCTTAAGAGTTTGCAACCGCTTCAAAGAGTGAGGGCGGCTCCTTTTTTCAAAATGTGGTGATCGCCTTAGCGCCACGCAATTTCGGCGTAAAAGCTTGCAGCAAGTTCAAAAATGCAGGGCGGCTCCTTTGCAAAAGGTGGCACTCGCCTGAGCGCCGCGCACATGTGTCTTAAGAAAGATGCAACAGTTTGAAAGATGGAGGGCTGCTCGTTTCCAAAATGTGGACCTCGCTTTGGCGCCGCGCATACTCATCTGAATATTGAAACCACTGCAATAACTCTGATTGGTGATGTCCCAGAGATGGCGTTCTAGCACCTTTTAGGATTGTCAGGGCGCATCAGTCACGCTGAGTCGCGGTAATCCCAGGAATAGTTTTCTGGCACGGTTTAGGATTGTCAGGACGCAGCAGTCCCGTTGATCCGCGGCGTTCAAGTCCCAGGCATGGCGTTTTCGCACGATTGACAATTCTCAGACGGTTGTCTTCCACTGGGCCACTTCCCGCAATAACAACAAACCCTTGTAGGGAACTGCGAAGGGGGAACTCGGAGGGAGGGTTGATTGCAACATCGCTGTTGCGTCCTAGGTTTACACTGGTCCTCCCTCCTCCTCCTCCTCCTCCTCCTCCTCTTCCTCCTCCTCCTCCTCCTCCTCCTCCTCCTCCTCCCCTCCTCCTCCTCCTTCCTCCTCCTCCTCCTCCTCCTCCTCCTCCTCCTCCTCCTCCTCCTCCTCCTCCTCCTCCTCCTCCTCCTCCTCCTCCTCCTCCTCCGCCTCCCTCCTCCTCCTCCTCCTCCTCCTCCTCCTCCTCCTCCTCCTCCTCCTCCTCCTCCTCCTCCTCCTCCTCCTCCTCCTCCTCCTCCTCCTCCTCCTCCTCCTCCTCCTCCTCCTCCTCCTCCTCCTCCTCCTCCTCCTCCTCCTCCTCCTCCTCCTCCTCCTCCTCCTCCTCTCCTCCTCCTCCTCCTCCTCCTCCTCCTCCTCCGCCTCCTCCTCCTCCTCCTCCTCCCTCCTCCCTCCTCCTCCTCCTCCTCCTCCTCCTCCTCCTCCTCCTCCTCCACCTCCTCCTCCTCCTCCTCCTCCTCCTCTCCACCTCCTCCCTCCTCCTCCTCCTCCTCCTCCTCCTCCTCCTCCTCCTCCTCCTCCTCCTCCTCCTCCTCCTCCTCCTCCTCCTCTCCTCCTCCTCCTCCTCCTCCTCCCCATCCTCCTCCCCCATCAACCCCCATCTTCCTCCACCATTCTCTCCTTTCTCCTCCACCTTCTTCCTCCTTCTTTCCTCTCTTCCCTCCCTCCTCCTCCCTCCTCCCTCCCTCCTTTCCCCCCCTTCGCAGCAGCCTGGCGCGCCGGTGTCCCGCCTGGCGCGCCGGAGTCCCTCCCTCCCTCCTCCCTCCCTCCTCGTTCTGGAGGGAGGGAGTCCCTCCTGCCGGAGTTCCTCCCTCCCCCCTCGTTATGGAATCCCTCCCTCCCTCCTCCCTCCCTCCCTCCCTCCTCCTCCCCCCTCCCTCCCCCCTCGCTCTGGAGGGAGGCCGATTGCCCAACTGGCCAGAGGGGCGGCCGAACGACGCGGGCCGCCGGCAGACCCGCCCGGCACCGGAGGAGCTCACAGAGTCTCGGGGACGTCGCAGCTGGCCTGCCACACGGGCGGCCGCCGCCGCGGCCGCCGCTGCGACCGCCGCGCGGCGCTCCGCCCGCTGCGATCTGCCCCCCTATCACCCCGGCCGGGCTCCCCCGACCCGAGCTGCCTCCCGCTTCTCCGGTCCCCCCTCGCCGTCGTCCTCCTCGCCGTCGTCGTACCCCTTTACCCCGTAATCCTCCTGCTCAGACTCCACTTCCCTTCTCCCCCTCTCCTCCTCCTCCTCCTCCCTTCCCCCTCCTCCTCCTCCTTTTCCTCCTCCTCATCCTCCTCCTCCTCCTCCTCCTGAGCATCATCATCATCATAATCATCATCATCATCACCATCCTCCTCATCATCCTCATCATCCCCATCATCCTCCTCCTCATCATCATCATCATCAGCACCACCATTATCATCCTCATCCGTCCCCTCTTCTTCCTCCTTCTTCTTCCTACAGCCCTGGAAGACGAACGTCTGCGGTGTCCACACGTGCACGAGAGACACAGCCGAATCTCGCCCGCAAGAACCTGGCAACAGTGCACTCGCCCGAAGGAACGAGTAGCGCATGAAACAAGGACCCTAGACGGGAAGCGCAACCCCAACATACATGGGGGCGCCAGCAGCCACGACGAGAAGCGCAACCCAACGGACGACGTGGGGCGAAAGGAATGGCGTATGGGGGCACAAGAATGGATGCACTAGGCGCACCAGGAATGCAGTTAAGCGCCACTCACTGGTAGACGATCTCAGGACTCCTGGCGGCCGTGTGGCAGTACATCTTGTCGAAGGCTGTCTTGTCGCTGAGTAACGGTAGGAAGAAAGCAGCCACCCCAGGCTGCCCTTCTTGAGCAGCGAGGTCGTACCATATCTGGAACACCTGGTCGTTAGCAACTGGGTCCACACGTTGGCACTCGAAAGCGGCCTTTTGGAACGCCATGCCGAGAGACTTTTTCGTATGGGAGCCGATAGGCTCAAGACAAGATGCCTTGACACGAATGGCCTCCGCACCAGTCTCGAAGGCCCAGCGGTCAGCAGCGTCGTCGTAGAAGCTCAGGGTGCCTTCACGACCATTTAGCAGCGGCCTAGCCTTGAGGCCAACAAGGCGCGCGGCCATGCCTGGAACGAATGTGCGCTTCTCGCCGCGCTGCTGAGGAACAATGGCCTCTCCGTGCCGCTGGGGCCTCACCACGTCAATATCAGTCTCCGCCTTGGCATAGGGTTCGCTCTCCATCGCCACAGAGCCCGAGCCAGTCGCGCCACCTTCACCAGGAAGCTGCACGCTGGACGACTCACCCTTCTCGTGCGCCAGGACTGGTCCGAAGGACTCGGCGTGCGTCTGGCGCTCGGAGCCCTCCTCCACCGCAGAACGCATGGCCGGCGGCGCATCAGAGAAGCCTTCGAAGAAAACCGGAAGGGGCTTCACGACAAGACGGATGTGGGACTCGCCTTTGGAGTTCTTGTGCCCGTGGTCCACGATACTAGCGCTGCCGATGTCCAGCTGCACCATGCGGAGCAAACTTATCATGAGGCTGTTCCGCATAGTCGGCTCCCAGACGGGGAACAGGCAGATCTGCATGATCAGCTTGTCGCTGTGGCTGCACAGTTTGACAACACCTTGGCGGCCATTCGCTAGTTCCTGGATGATCCAATGGAGCCTGGCTGCTGAGACCATGGCGGCGCGGGGGGCAAGGGGGGAGAACAGCGGCTCGCAAGTGCAAGCGAATGTCTCCTCCTCAGGCAGACGCCTGAGCCACAGGGGCTTTCCTCCTCCTCCTCCTCCTCCTCCTCCTCCTCTTCCTCCTCAGCCTCCTCCTCCTCCTCATCATCGTCATGATCACAACCACCACCACCACCACCATCATCATCATCATCATCATCATCAGCATCATCATCATCATCATCATCATCATCATCATCAGTATCATCATCATCAGCAATATCAGCAGCATAATCATCATGAGCATCACCATAATCATCCCCATCAGCATCATGAAACGCATCATCAGAATCATGATCATCACCATCATGATCATCATCATCACCATCACCAGCACCACCATCATCATCATCATCATCATCATCAGCATCAGCATCAGCATCAGCATCAGCATCCTCACCCTCATCCAAAACCTCACCCTAATCCTTATCCTGATCCTGATCCTCCTCCTCCTCCTTCTCCTCCTCCTTCTCCCCCTCGTTCTCCTTTTCCAGGAGAAGGAGGTTAAGGAGCAGGACCTGCTCCTTCACCTCCGCCTCCTCGTCCTCCGCCTCCTCCTTCTCCTCCTGCTCCTCCTCCGCCGCCCCCCTCCTCTTCCTCCTCCTGCTCCTCGTCTTCCTCCGTGTCGCACCACCGGACGTGTTCGTGGGCCGGGCTGGACGTTTTGCGCGGAGTTTCCTTGCACTGTAGTGCCTCTACCCTTGAGCACTCCAACCGTTACACGAACGGAGGGCCGGCCGCTTCCAAAATGCGATTATCGCTCCAGCGCCGCCCTCATTCGTCTTGCAAGGTTCGAGCTGTACACAGATGCAGGCCTGCACAATTTAACAATTGGGCTCCATCGTGCAGCATTTACAAGGGTTGATGGCGGCGCCTTTAGAATTGGGCCCTCGCCGAGTACATTGTTATATATGTTCACCCGATGGCACAAGTTGTACAACAGCTTCACGGATGCAAGGCGGTTCAATTTCAAAGCGGAGGTACCGCTGGGCGCTCCCTTGAACTTCACAAGCCACCTTGTCGCAGTCCTTCTAGCTCGAAGAAACGAAGGCAGCTCGATTCAAAACGGATCTTCCACACAAATTGCGGGCCCCTGGGGCGCTTGTCTTTCACGGGATCGCTCTCCGCAGTGAGAAAGAATGCTTGTGGTGACTAATGAGGAGGGGCCTTGGAACGGGAGGGTGCTATAAAGCATCGCTGCTGCATTCTGGGTTTGCTCTGGTCCTCGTCCTCCTCCTCCTCCTCCTCCTCCTCCTCATCCTCCTCCTCACTGTTCCTCGAACTCCTCATTCGCCTCCTCCTTGCCCTCCTCATCGTACTCGTCGTCCCCCTCCTCCTCCTCCTCCTCCTCCTCCTCCTCCTGAGCATCATCATCATCATCATCATCATCATCATCATCATCATCATCATCATCATCATCATCCTCATCCTCATCCTCATCCTCATCCTCATCCTCATCCTCATCCTCATCCTCATCATCATCAGCACCATCATTATCATCCTCATCCGTCCCCTCTTCCTCCTCCTCGGCCTCTTCCTCCTCAGCCTCCTCCTCCTCATCATCGTCATGATCACAACCACCACCACCACCACCACCACCACCATCATCATCATCATCATCATCATCATCATCATCATCATCATCATCATCAGTATCATCATCATCAGCAATATCAGCAGCATAATCATCATGATCATCACCATAATCATCCCCATCAGCATCATGAAACGCATCATCAGAATCATGATCATCACCATCATGATCATTATCATCATCACCATCATCAGCACCACCATCATCATCATCATCATCATCATCAGCATCAGCATCAGCATCCTCACCCTCATCCAAAACCTCACCCTAATCCTTATCCTGATCCTGATCCTCCTCCTCCTCCTTCTCCTCCTCCTTCTCCCCCTCGTTCTCCTTTTCCAGGAGAAGGAGGTTAAGGAGCAGGACCTGCTCCTTCACCTCCGCCTCCTCGTCCTCCGCCTCCTCCTTCTCCTCCTGCTCCTCCTCCGCCGCCCCCCTCCTCTTCCTCCTCCTGCTCCTCGTCCTCCTCCGTGTCGCACCACCGGACGTGTTCGTGGGCCGGGCTGGACGTTTTGCGCGGAGTTTCATTGCACTGTAGTGCCTCTACCCTTGAGCACTCCAACCGTTACACGAACGGAGGGCCGGCCGCTTCCAAAATGCGATTATCGCTCCAGCGCCGCCCTCATTCGTCTTGCAAGGTTCGAGCTGTACACAGATGCAGGCCTGCACAATTTAACAATTGGGCTCCATCGTGCAGCATTTACAAGGGTTGATGGCGGCGCCTTTAGAATTGGGCCCTCGCCGAGTACATTGTTATATATGTTCACCCGATGGCACAAGTTGTACAACAACTTCACGGATGCAAGGCGGTTCATTTTCAAAGCGGAGGTACCGCTGGGCACTTCCTTGAACTTCACAAGCCACCTTGTCGCAGTCCTTCTAGCTCGAAGAAACGAAGGCAGCTCGATTCAAAACGGATCTTCCACACAAATTGCGGGCCCCTGGGGCGCTTGTCTTTCACGGGATCGCTCTCCGCAGTGAGAAAGAATGCTTGTGGTGACTAATGAGGAGGGGCCTTGGAACGGGAGGGTGCTATAAAGCATCGCTGCTGCATTCTGGGTTTGCTCTGGTCCTCGTCCTCCTCCTCCTCCTCCTCATCCTCCTCCTCACTGTTCCTCGAACTCCTCATTCGCCTCCTCCTTGCCCTCCTCATCGTACTCGTCTTCCCCCTCCTCCTCCTCCTCCTCCTCCTCCTCCTCCTCCTGAGCATCATCATCATCATCATCATCATCATCAGCATCATCATCATCATCATCATCATCATCATCATCATCATCATCATCATCATCATCCTCATCCTCATCCTCATCCTCATCCTCATCCTCATCCTCATCCTCATCCTCATCATCCTCCTCATCATCATCAGCACCATCATTATCATCCTCATCCGTCCCCTCCTCCTCCTCCTCTTCCTCCTCAGCCTCCTCCTCCTCATCATCGTCATGATCACAACCACCACCACCACCACCACCATCATCATCATCATCATCAGTACCATCATCAGCAATATCAGCAGCATAATCATCATGATCATCACCATAATCATCCCCATCAGATCATGAAACGCATCATCAGAATCATGATCATCACCATCATGATCATCATCATCACCATCATCAGCACCACCATCATCATCATCAGCATCAGCATCAGCATCAGCATCCTCACCCTCATCCAAAACCTCACCCTAATCCTTATCCTGAT